AATCTGCAATAACTTTAGATACTTTATATGCATAATATGATGTATGTACTATAATATGATAATGTGTGTTCTCATTTTCAATCACATGTATGCCTGCACATTGTGTTAATCATAATAAAGTTGAATTTAATCGAATTTAATTGATTCTGTTTCAGCTTTAGGCATCTTCTTCATTCAAATAGTTATGACAGAACACATTAGGGCTGTAACTTGCAACTATTTTCATAGATTAATTGATTAATTGGGCTAGGAAATGTCAGAAAATAGTGAAAAACATGAATCACAATTCCATTAATCACGAGACACTGTCATCGGATTACTTTTGTTGTCTGAGTAACTGTCCAAAACCCAAAGATATTGAATTTATTACGACATAATAAGGCAAAGAAAAGCAGCAAATTCTTACAAATGAGAGGCTGGAATTGGGGGGTGTTTGGCATTTTTGCTTGAAAAATGACTAAAACAATGAATTAATCATCAAAATAGTTGCTAATTATTTTGTGTGACAATTGATTAATCTTTTCAGCTCTAGAACTAAATGTGCACACATCATTTGTACGATCTGTAATCTGGATACATATTCTGATTTTCTTTCTAATCTGAAAACTCAACATGTTATTTCTGATTGATGAAGGTGAGTTTAACTCAGCAGGCATGTCAATTAAAAGGCATCAAACAAAAGAACAGACAAGAAGAGTTGTTGAGGGGAAATCAATTTTTTTTTTAAATGAAAAGAAAAGAAAGATGAAAAAGATAAAACGGGAAAGAAAATAATTACAAGAAGAGGTGATTTGAATGGTAAAGGGAAACAGAACGCAACAAGAAACTCCGATAATTCTGATATAACAAAAACAAGAACACAACCAAGCAGTTAAAAGACATTGCAAAAACATCTCACAGCACTGGCAGACAAATATTTTTCTTTGTTTCTCCCTGACTGCAGGGCATAATCACACTAACAGAGTCTTGTGTTTACATGGGGCCTTTTGTATTTGCAGAATTGTCCTAATCATAGAGAACTGTACGAGCATGAAAGCATGGACGGTTCGTGTTATCTCATGTTATTCATATTTTCATGGACCACTGCTGTACACACACACACACACACACACACACACACACACACACACACACACACACACAAGTCTGTGATGTCAAGTATGATGGAAGGAAAGTATGATGGAAGGAAAGGCACAAAAACATTTCCTTCAGGAGGATTTTCTCTTTTATGTTTGGTATATTTTGATATATTAATATATATATTTAGAATAATAAATTCCATTGAGATCAGGGACTGGTTACTAGGCTAAAGTTAGCTAAAGTTACTGTAATGTATTGTTTAAATACTTTAATCTGTGATAAAATCAACAAATATAACTTGATAGAGGATATCATCTTTATTATGAACAACTTCTCTACAGAGATTTAACTTACTGTCAGCCTAGTGTAACAGGTTTTTACCAGTTTTGTTGGATTCCTCCCTTTGATTTGTGATCTCTCTTTACTGGCCAGAACAGACAAGTTGTTGTATTTTATTTTTTTAATTTTTTTTCTTCACCAGGTTTCACAAGTGAAAGTGCAAACAAACAAATGGTTTCAATGGAAACAGTCCAACTACTGAACACCGCTCACATCTGTGTTTGACTGCCTGAGACTGAGAATGGGCTGCAGTGTGTGGGAGAAAAAAAATGCAAAAGGCCAGCCAGTGTTTGGTCTGTCCTTTCTAGGCTACTGTAGAAACATGGCGGACTCCATGAAGGGGACCCACAGTGTGTGTAGGTAAAAACACAATGATTCCTGTATTCAGGTGATTATACACTGATGAAAACATACCTATGAATATTATATTCCATTTCTGCTAATAAATCCTCCTAAATGTTACACACTAGACCTTTAATGCAATAAATGCCTTAATATTTGTCCTTACAGGGAAACCTTTTAAGGGATTCTCTGCAACACCCTTAAGTAAGTCCCTCAGCTAAGTAGAAATTAAGCCTTAATGGTCATACTTAAGGAGAAAACTTAAGGTGTTTTGTGCAACCAGTCCTTGATTCCTATTCTGTTGTATTAGTGACAGGACTGCTGGGAGCCTGTTCTGATATTGAGCTCAGAAGAGGAATGTCCCCACAAACTTTTCTGTCTATTTCATTTTCAGCTAATGAGTTTCTGCCTCCTGAGAGCCTGTTGCTATAACTTATATATGTGGTCTGGTGCAGTGAATGAGAGATTTCTGAGGTGAGAAACAGTAAAAGTCACACTCTCTACTCAAAAGGCAACTTCTCTTATAGCTACACTGCATGCTGGTGCATTTTTATTTTCACCTCTCCCTGTACGATAGCTGCAATGGAAAGGTGGGAAAAGGGGTTCTCTGCAGTAAGTCATAAAAGCTCCCTGACTCTGAACGGCTCATCCTAATACCTGACATTTACCATTTCAGTTTTAGATCTTCTGCTAACATCTCTACATCAATGGGACCATTTTCAATTCTGCTAGGAGAGTTTTTGTCGATACCTAAAGTTTTGAACATTTTTCCTGATATCACAGTATCTGGACTGATGGCAGGTTGAGACCATTCTTATTCTCTTGCCTTTGAGTTGATCTTTTCATGCTCTTGTATTAATAAATTACTTTTTGAGTGAGTCACTCTTGATTTGTTCCTACTGTGCAATTGTATTAGTCTTTGGTACAATCACATTTTGCAAAGGCCACAGCATAAAAATCAACAAGTGAAGTCACATTACTTGAATTAAAAGTCACTCCATAGTTTTTCTGACTTGATGCTAATCAGTTATACAGACAGGTCTATGCAGGCAGAGAGCATTAGCTACAGATGGATTATGTAAATTTTAAAAAAGCCACTTATTGCTGAGTAGATTATGATACTGGCACACATTCATTAATATCATTTATAAGTGGTGATCATTGTATTAGGTGGATGACACGTTGTTTCTTCTTTAACAGGTTTTTCTTGACACACCATCAAGAGATGGATCACATGAGTGATACTGATAATGTAAGTCCATTAACTAAAACATGTTGCACAACTCCATTCCACTACATGGCACTTTACTCACCTATCCAGATGTTTGCAGCTATCTTGCTTTCAGCAGAAAACGAAAGGCAAGATGGGGCACTTCGACAGAGGCGAGATAGCAGCAAACATTAAACATGGTGAGTAAAGCAGCTTTGCAATGTGTTTTAATTTTTATGGACTGGCACTAAAGCTCACATTGGCCTGCATCTTGCTGTGTGTGCAAGTCTTAAAGTTAGAAAATGAATTATGCTGTTACCATGACAACAGACAAAGTTAATCCTTATGTGCAGTGCCTATATACAGTAGCCTATATGTATGTGTGTGTGTGTGTGTGTGTGTGTGTGTGTGTGTGTGTGTGTGTGTGTGTGCGTGCGTTTGTCTGTGTCTGTGTCTGTGTGTGTATAGATATATGCAATGTACAGTTAGACAAGAAGAGTCATATTATAATTGCCTATACAAATATTATGCGAATATCACAGGCTTGTGTAACATTAGAGATGAAAAATGGGCTTATATTACAGTCCCTATAAACTCAATATTAGGTATTACTCTATATGTTACTATATAAAATTATAAATATTGGTGATACCGGAGGCATTTGTGGTTATCATAGTGGCCTACTGTGCACACTTCCAGGGGCCCAAATGGTCAGAGTTTCCGTTTGAAATGACCATTAACATTTTTATTGGCCACAAGTTATCTCATCTCATATTTACTAATAAAATATTAATATATTATTAATAATATTTAGTCTATCTTATGGTTGCACATGTTTGACAGCAGAATAGCTCTGCCGGAAAAAAAAATCTGTATCACAGGATCACAGGTTCCCTGTACATAATATTCGGTATAGTGTTTTACACTATGTGGACCTGCTGTGGCATAAAGTTCATGGGTCAGGTTCAATCAGTTTTGAAAACAATTTTATATAAATAATAGTCAGCATAGTTTCTCCTACATGCTTGGAAGGCAAGCAGTATTCAGTTGGCTGCTATCTGCAATGTCACTGGTAGATGTCACTAAGTCTTCTCAATATCTGTTTATGAACTATAAGAGATGCAAAAATGTACCGTTAAGAATCATAAGATTACCTAATATTACACCAGGATGTTATTACATGAGATTAAAAATGCCTTGATACAAGCAGGCTATTACAGAAATATTAAAATTAATATATTCAAGATTCAAGAGGTTTATTGTCATATGCACAGAAGAAACACAGTGGTTTATATCATACTATGAAAATCTTACTTTGCCCGACTCCCTTTACAGAACAGTACAATAATAAGAAAAATAGAATAAAGTTAAAATATGAAATATAACAATAATATGTATTTATAAATATATGTATTTATGTTTGGGTGTTACATAATGGGTGTTCAAAAGTGCTTTACATACATTATAATGCTTAAAATTCATATAGGAATATTCAAGATTCAAGATTCAAGAGGTTTATTGTCATATGCACAGAAGAAACACAGTGGTTTATATCACACAATGAAAATCTTACTTTGCCCGACTCCCTTTACACAACAGTACAATAATAAGACAAATACACAACACAAATAGATAAACAGAATACAGTTAAAATATAAAATATGAAATATAACAATAATATAGAGTATTTATGTTTGGGTGTTACACAATGGGTGTTCAAAAGTGCTTTACATACATTACAATGACCACACAAGTTATATGTTTGTGTAAATTCCTCTATCGGATGATGAAAGACTGCTGCTTATCTTTGCTTGCAGCATATATATATATATATTTATATGTATATATATAGTCATTTTCACATATACTCCAGGATTAAACACGGTTATATGTACAGAAATGTGTATAACAGACATATAAATGGGGTTTATAATTAACATTTCTACATGGACATACCGTGTGTGACACAAAAAGGGGCTGTACCTCTCTGTGGGCACAGCACTGTAAGCAACCGACGTCACCAGAAAGAGCGAGCGAGCCAGTTGTTTTGAGAGGAGAAGAAGAAAAGGGCTACAAGCGGAAGAAACACCGGATTTGGTTTCGGATATTATTCGTTTTATGGTCCTGGTTTAGTTTTTTTAAAAATATATATATATATATATAAATACACTTTGAATAATGTCGACCCCGGCGAGGAGACGGCTAATGAGAGATTTTAAAAGGTACCGCAGCGTTTTGGTTTTTTTTTTTTTTTTTGGGTTTTTTTTTGGCAGTCATCTCCTTGTGTGTGTGTGTGTGTGTGTGTGTGTGTGTGTGTGTGTGTGTGTGTGTGTGTGTGTGTGAAGCTAGCGGCGTTAGCTTAGCATAGTAGCGTTAGCTGCTGGTGCAAAGGATACTGTAGCTACATGAAGCCTGGCTGGAGTTATTGTGTTAGAAACTGGTTGGTTTATTGTGGGTCTGTCTCTGCACATGCCATCGATAGGATTGGCACAGGGACGGCTGTGTGTTTTTTGAGTGTTATTTAACGATATTGGAAGAAGGTGCTTTGGGTTAATGCAGTGTTTTCTGTCCAGGGAGTAACGTTAGTTTCTCCATTTTCTTGGGTAGTTTGTTTATTTGGGTAGGTGCAACTTCGGCGGGTTGGACAAACCTTTCTGTCTGGCCTTAAGTTGCCCTGATTAGAAGCTAAATGAGGCAGGATTTTCTCCTAATTTCTCAGCTCAGACTGCAAGCTGTGGGTTTAAATTCAGCTAAATTCAACCTAGCCAGCAAACATTATGGTTTCAAACCCTCCTGGTAGCAACGTGGCTCACAGGTGTTGCACAACTCTGTGTGTGTGTGTGTGACTGGTCAGGGGGTGCTCCATCTCAATATTTAGGATGGCTAGATAAGTGCCTGCGACCTCTTAGTATTGCTTTAAAAATCTGTATTAGTATTAAACCATCACAATGTGCCTTTGTGTAAGTTATCAAACCTGTGCTGTGAACACAATAATGTATGTGTTTCCTGGGAGAATTACACTTGGCAAGGGGCTACTTGTAAGACCTGCTATCCACAATCTGTTCCCTTGCTCCATATGGCTTCCTACAGTACGTGTTTGTCATTCACACACACACACACACACACACACACACACCACACACACACCTGTCAGTGGAAAAAAAAAAAAAATAAAGAAGATCCTAAGCTATTCTACTAAGAACAGCCGATGAACCGGGGCAGATAAGGTGTCACCGTAACTCTACTCTGCTGTGCCAGTCCCCAGGTGGTAAACAGTAACACACTGAGGCAAGGAAAAACACAATACCACATTCCTGGATCAGCCTGTGTGTCCACGCCAAGGCTGGCTGATTGAACTCAGCCTTGCGTGATATTGCCTAACCTCCCTTGTTTGATCTGTAAGTCAAATTATTTGCTCGATATGCGTCTTGATACTGAGCTATGTAATTGTTTGAACAGAAACACTTTGGTATGATGTTTTGGCCCAGTACCTTGGATGTGAAATGACACTTTGGTGTTGAATTGCTGCTTAAATAAGCATTTTTTTTAAGCTCTGTTGGATGAACAGTTCAGAAACCACCTAATTTTTCTTCTGATTGTTTTCAGTAAAGCATCAGTTTCATTTTCTTTCCTCCAATGTATTTTTCAAGAAGCAATTGGCATTGTGAAACCAACAACATCCCCTTACACTTCAGTACCTTCTGTTTCTGTATCTGAGCTCCTCAGACTGTTTTAGTGAGGATTTAGCAACCAGACTAAACACAACACAAACAGTGAATGCCAATATGGCTTTAACTGAGCTAAAATAGCTTTTAAAATTAGGAATATGTTGCTCTACTTTCTCAGTATCAGGCCAAACCAAAGCTTACAGCTAGTGTATCTTACAAATTACTGTAAGCTACCTGCATAATTGCAATTATCGTTTCTAGCAAACCTAATCAAACAAGTTGTAGTATGTATGTCTGTTACAATTTAAATACAGTTGACTGCATGGTGTGCAGGGTTTCATTGACCACACTGTTTTGGATATTTGGGTAATTAATAACAGAAATTATACTAGGGTCATTTTCATTATCAGTTGATCTGCTTATTATTAATTATTTGTTTGGTCTTTTTAAAATGTCCTGAAATTGTGAGAAATGTCCCTTCCAGAGTCCAAGGTAATGTCCTTTTTAAATGTATAAATGTATATGTGAGGATTTAAAACAGTAAAACAGCCAATGCTCACATTGGTGAATCCAGTAAGAGAGAGAGTAAATTATCAGCTTTTTTAAAACAAAACTAACCATCACACAATGCCCCCCTAACCTGCATTACACCCACACAAACTGAGGGGGGAAAAAAAACATACTGTTTGCGTAAGACTGCCCACTACTTCCCCCTAATCTGCTGCCTGATCAGTAATGCCCAATTACCAGGTCAAACAAAGTATCTGTTGGTGCTATCTAGTAGGGAAGTTGAATGGAGCATACCTCCACCAGCAGAAAGCTCAGGCAGATTACAGTAAATGAGGTTAATTGCAGTGGGTCTGTCTGCAGCTAGGGACATTGATCTATACACACACACACACACAGACACACAAATCAGCCTACCTTGTTTTATAGCTGTAAGCTCCTATTAAACCAGCTTTTATACTAGGCGTGGGATTGTAGGCCTAAGTAGTCTGCGATGATTCCGGGCTTGGCCTACATGCATTGGTGATCCGAAGCAAGACCTTTAGTGTGACCCAGTAACGTACCCTGAGTTTCGCCAACGGACCCGACAGAGTAGACTGTAGTATATTCTGAGTACGGCTCATTTCAACACACTGCCTTTGTTTGTTAATGTGGACTCAATCTACCATAAACCTGTTTTATAGCCTACACTGATCAATAGTTTAACAAACGAGGCTGTTGTCGGAAACTTAATTTAAAATGTTGACCTGCGACATGTGCATGTTTGGATGTGTTGATGTCTTTGTTGCTAGGCAGTTGTTACTGTGGGGTTTATGCACTGCAGTTCACAGAGATCACTTGCCAGTCAAGCAGCCCTTGGGCAGTTTTCTTTGTGGAGCTGGAGCTAATGATTATTTTCATTAATGTTAATAAGTTGGTCTGAATATTGTGGGTTATGTCATGAGTCACCTGGGCTGTACACATCATGTTTCTAAATTGTTTAATTTTTAGAAAATACAACCCCCAGAGGTATGCATTTTACAGTGATTTCAAACTATAGCAAATATTTAACTTTTAAATAGTCAGAAAATGATCACTAACTTTGATAATGTAATTTTTTAATATGCCAAAAGGCCACAGATGTCTGGAGTTGCTGCTTTTCTCGTTTTTTTGCCACTGAGTTTTGGACAGTTGGTCCAAACCTCCAAAATATGTTTTTTAGATGTTTATGTTTTACAATTTTCTATCATTTCGTCGACCAAAACATTAACCGATTTAATTGAAAGAGAAAATTAAGATGACTCAATAATGACAAAATAATAATTTAAGCATGAAATCCTGAAATAAAACCAACAACATGTATTTATTTATTTATTTTTTGTTCAATTATTAACAGTAATTTTCTTATTTTTTATTTTCTTATTTCTTTCAATTGGCGTATCAATCAATCAAACATTTAATCACTATTTGTTTGGATTTCATGTTGCTGGAGTTTCTCTAGGTCACATTACTTTCTGTCCTTTAATGCTCCCAATTACCCAGTTATTGTATTTATGCCAAACACAGCGACGTTGCTGCTGCTGTAAATGTTAAACCCAGCATCTCCTCTGCATCAGATTGTTTTTCTTAGGGGGGGAAAAGAACAGACACTGAGTGTACAGAGCTTTCATGAACTGGGTTCAATCATCTGTGCTACGTATAGGTCAGTAGAGAGTAACAAAACAAACGTATTGATAGAAAAACATCAAGGTTGTAGGGTTTGTATATTTGTGGTTTAGCCAGATTATATCAACGTTAGAAGGAATTTCAGGCGAAGGAACACTGAGTGGATGAAATGCTTAGCACCAACAGGTCTTATGATGCTGACTAGGGATACAGTCATGGTACAGTAGTGCTTCAGATGAGTATGAATGATATAGCTTTGTTAACTGACTGCAGGTTGGGCAGTGTGCAGTTGATCCTGCTAGCCTGGCTGTTTACTGAAGTCATGTTGATACAGCAGTTCGTGTTTTGACTGACAATTATCTTGCAGTCAAGGTGTTAATTAAAATCCTCACACTCTCGACCATCCTTGTCTCACGCCTCTCTCGCTTCTTTCTCCCCTTCTGTTTGTTTTTTCTGTTTGCATTCCCATTTAATTCTGTCTCTCATCTTTTAATGCCCCCTTATCTCTGTTTCCCCCTGTTTGCTCCCCATCTTTTCCCCTTTTTGTTTTGTTCTCATTTATCTCTTTTTTCCTTTCTTTTTGTCTCTCTAGCTTCCTGCTGCCTTTCTTTTTGTCAGTCTATTGTCTTTTTCTGTTCTCTTGCTATCTGTGGTTTTTTGTCGTTTATTTTTCTTTCTCTTACCATTTCTTTCTCTCTCTGTCTTACCCAGACTTCAAGAAGATCCTCCCACCGGTGTGAGTGGAGCGCCATCAGAGAACAACATCATGCTTTGGAACGCTGTTATTTTTGGGTGAGTCATGCTCTAAATCCAACTCCACCCTGCTGTCTTTACTGTGCCACCGTGATTGTGATGCACAAGAGTCCCCCAACGCACCCACCCCTTGGCAATATTTAAATATTTGTGATTACAGCCCTGATTGTGGCACAGAACAGTCTGGAAAATCAGCATGTAGAGACTCAGCAGGTGTTTGATGGAAGAACCAACTGGGAAACACTGTTGGGGCTTGAGCTGATGGGTCAAGGAAGGGAAGGAAGAAAGAGGAGTATTGAGAAAGACCAAACCAAAACTTTTTTCAATTTTTTTGATATCTCTAGGTACACAATTTAAAATGCAATTGAAAGAAGAAACATGGTTTTTAAAAACTCATTTTCAGCTACTCATTTAAAAAACAAAAAAACATACTAGTAGTATGAATACAAAACTCAAAACATACTTAAATATCAGAAACGCAAGCAGATTGCAAGCAATACTAGAACGTAATTGAAAACTCAACAAGAAGCAACAAGGTGCTACAAACAACAAACCGGAGCGACACAGAGTTTAAAATAAAAATAGACTTGGTAATAGTTCCTCGCCTAATTCAAAGTCAAAGGGGAAGCTGCCAGAAATGTAAAACGTGTAGGCAGCTGATTTAATTGGCCCCTTTACACAGTCTGTGTGAATGTGAAGAGCTGAGTAAATAAAGACTCCGGTGTCTGTGCAGAGCAAGTCCTTGAAGGATAGAAGGTAATGGTTGTGTTTTTTTTCTACAAGCCTTATTGGTAGCAGCGGGGATGTTTGGAATTTGGAAATAATTGTATTGCTCTCTCTCTCTCTATTGCTCTCTCTCTATCTCTCTCTGCCTTCTGCAGGCCTGTGGGAACACCGTTTGAAGATGGTAAGTTCTCCATTTTGATTTATCTTGTCCATAAAGTCCTCAGTGGGAGCACATTTATCCAAGCTCTGGATTTGATTGAACTTCCTCCTGCTTTGTTATTATTGTGGAGTTGCATCAGTCACTCCATCTATTACAGCCTTCTGGGCAGTGTATTGTTTAAAAAATATGACAAAGTCAGGCTGTTGATGGGTTACACTCTTGAGTAATCAATCACAAAATCATACACTCCATTCCCACACCTATAAATATTTTCAAAAGGTACTACAGAGGTTGGACGCATTCGATTTGTAATGAAACTGCCGAGTTTAAAGAGCTGCCTTTCAGCGTTTTTGAAAGGTGTTCAAATTTATATTATATATTTTATATTTTACACACAGCCCTCACATTTTTGTGTGGTACAGTCGTATAGGACTGAATCATACAGTTAAAATCCTCATCACAACTTTTGGTAACAATATTTAGTTATGAACTGCCTTCTAATGTTATACACGGGGGTTGTGTTGCTTCAGGTAACGCCTAATTACAGTCCAGGAAGTCCAGTTTTTTCACACGGGGCTACTGCCGGTCTGACTACAGCCTTTCACTAAACTCTTTGTACTCTTTAGTAGAGTTTTTAATTACAGTACACTCAGAATTATTGACTTGAACAACATACATTTTCAGAACAATAACATGATTTTTGTGTCATCACAGAAGTTGATAAATGTTAGTATTGAATGATCACAATTACAGTTCCTACCATCAATGTAGAGCTGTAGAGCCTGCTCTTTAATCTCATAATCATTGATTTATTTCAGTGATAATTGAATGAGCTCACGCTACAAGACGTGTTTTGAGGTCCAAATGCATTACGCACTCGACAATATTGTGTGTATATATTTTAAGACTTTAGTTAAACTATGTAGGGGAGCAGGGCAAGGCTTGCAGTTCTGCTTTATAATACATACAGCATGAGACACGCACACATTTCTGCACATACACACTTTCTTTTCTTGTAATTATGACTTAGGTCGGTCGGGCAAGGCAAGAGAAGTGCTGACTCAGGGTTTATTGTTTCTTCTTGTTAGCCATCTCCCTCCTTTTTATTCTCCTTTTAGCCTGCAGAGTCGACATCTCTGCCTCGCTGAAGGATTAGCTTCTCTTTCTAGTCGAGCCGGCTGTATTTTTAGTAACGTAATTGTTTCTCTCGCTTTCTTTGACCCCCTCGATCCTTCCTTCACATCTGTATTCTCCTCACAAAATTACTTGTGTGCACCCCTCACACACCCTCTCCCTCTCTCTCTCTCTCTGTCTCTGTCTCTCTCTGTCTCCCCCACCCCCCTCGCCCTCCACTCTCCTTCTGTCTCTCTGCAGGAACATTTAAGCTTCTGATAGAGTTTTCTGAGGAGTACCCAAACAAGCCTCCCACAGTTCGGTTTGTCTCCAGAATGTTTCACCCAAATGGTAAGCAGTACAGCTGGCCCGACAAACTCACACATTCAGTGATTCAAACCATGCATTTGAAAATAGAAATAAATGTCTGCCCTCACTTTGTTCATGACCAACGTCTACATTTTGCCGTGTACAAAATAATTGGACTTAGAAATGTTCCAAGCTCTCCTTTCCTCCACATTCAAGCAGTTTCCTCCCATTCATCTCCTTTCCCATTCCATAACAGAAATTAATTTAGTAGGTTACTTCATTGAGGCTGGCAGTAAACTACTATATCAAGTAGATTTCTTGTATGTTAGTTCAGCAGATATGATGGGTTAGCAACCAAAAGGTGTGCTATGTTTTATTATTTAATGATGTGTGTTGTATTTGCTGATTCCCACAGATCTTAAGCTCCTGGGGACTTGCAGTGTTTTTCAACAGTGCTTTAGTCAACTGCAATGTGAGAACACAGCAAATTTGTGTATCATTTGCAGTATACCACAAACTTAAGAGATTGTGGCTGTCTCCTGGACTCATCTTCACCATCTGTTCTAGATATACGTTGTACATTCAGTCTATCACTGGTACAGAGACATAATGACGGGTGTTGTGACGTTGATCTCTGTGGTTTGGAGCTTGAATGTGTTGTTTCTCTTTTTTTCCCCCAGTTTACGCAGATGGCAGTATATGTTTAGACATCCTTCAGAACCGCTGGAGCCCCACGTACGATGTGTCGTCCATACTCACCTCCATCCAGGTTAGTTGGTTTCACTTTAAACAAAGCACACTAACAGTGTTCATGCGGGCTATTTGGCATTTATTACTGTCATCTGTTTTATAATTTTGTAATGTTTTACTTATACTACACTATGTTTGTTATCTATGAATGGCCTGATTAAAAAAACATGGGATATTGTGTGTTATTTGATGTAACGCAAATCCTCAAAGCACATAATAGAAATCAGAAACAAATCTTTTCGCATTTAGATGTATACGTTTCAGATGAGATATTTTTTTACTGTACTTCAGGAATATCTAGATTAAAACATAAGAATAAAAAAAGTTGAGGCTGCAATGCAAACTACATTTTCTATTCACAAGGGAAGGAAAAACATCAGAATAAATGTGAAATCATTAGGGTTGAACTGAATATTGGCTGAAACAAGTATCCAGATTTACTTTTTACGAGTGTTGTTTAAGAGTGATAATTTTCTAATAAATATAGCAACTTCTATCAACCCATATCAATTTCAGGCATAAATGAACTGAATAAATGTCCAGGCCAAGCCCCGTCCATTCTGAGTACAGATAAGAATACAGATAATTTTGTTGGGTGAACAGATACAGATAAGTGTACTCGCTCATCCCTAGAACTAATATTTCTGTAATAATTTTGCCATATATTTTGCATTGCATACAGCTACATTTCTCAATATTCCACAACGTTCAGAGAATCTGTCCTGGTTATGTAATGCTCATGAGACCGATGATTTGCCATGGATTTTTTTTAATCACTTTTGTTTCTTTTCCCGCAGTCGTTGCTGGACGAGCCAAACCCCAACAGCCCAGCCAACAGTCAGGCCGCACAGCTCTATCAGGAAAACAAGAGGGAGTACGAGAAGAGGGTGACGGCTATTGTGGAGCAGAGCTGGGTGGATGTCTAAGCTTCTCTTGCTCTCTACCCCTTCCTCTCCATCACCCACTCTTCATCACCCCAGTACTTCAGTCTTTCATTTTTACCTCATCAAGAAAAAACAGCAACTATATCAGAAAAAACTCAAGTGCCACCCTGAAAAAAAACAAAAACAAAACCAGAATGGACATTTACTTGCTTGCCAATACATTTGAGGAAAACAAGGGAGGGGAGTGTTTCTTGTCCTTAATTTTACTTTTTTTTTATTGCATGATGTGAAATAAGTTATTGCTAACAGAATTTGTAATATATCTTTGTTGTTTGGTTGGATTGATGCTGTTGAGTTTTACAGATTTGTTTGTTGTTTTTTTTTTCCCCTTTGGAAGTGTTTTTTTTTTTTTTTTTTTGTAATGTCTACTGGTGTGCACACAACTTGGCTGTTTGGAAAGGGCAGGTTGATGACCAAATCAGCATATTTTGAATGTCATGGGAGAATAACGGCTTTCAGAGTCTGTCGTTATTCTTCAAGTCAGCCACATATGCAGCTGATAAAGAACAATCTCCGATCTGTTCCAGCATATCTCTGTTATTTTAAGAGACACTGTAGGTTTGGGCTCACAGACGTCACAGGCTGCAGTAACGCCAAGTCTCCCATGCACTGATGAATCATGACTCCCTGGCTACTAGGCTTCTCTGAGCTTTTATTTTGATCATTTCTGCTCCATGGTAGAAGATGATTTTTGGAGAGGGAGAGTTATGAGAAAGTAAATATTAACACCAGGATGGGACAGGACTGTGGGAATCCTGGCTGAATTAAGGAAGTTCTTTACTCGTTTCAATCAGTTTCCTGAAGTCAGCTTCTTTTCACTGTTTATCACTTATCCCAGTGTTTAATTGTTATCACAAGGTATGTAGCGCACAGGAGCCCCTGAGTTCAGGAATTTAAGTGCTTGTACTTTCTTGAATTGTGGTGCCATATCTTTTTTTTTTTTATTATGGTTCATTCAATGCTAACGGACCAAAGGTAGCAAGTAGAAACCTGGGGAAGGTTCAACTATAATCAGTAGTTGGTAAAACTTCATGTACTTCTACATCATGTTCTCTGTTCCGCACATTTTCCTTAATACATTTTTCGTTCACTTCATAATTTAACTCTCAACACTGCGTTTTAAAAATGAGTTCTGAGAACTGTTCTCAGCTCCCTCTCCTGACAGCTCATCTTAGCTTTGTGCCCACATGGTTTTCTAATTTCACTCGCCACAGAAAGTACACACTTTTATTTTTTTAATGCTTTTGTTGCCTGTGACGCGTGTGAGCGTGAATGAAGTGTCAGTGCTTTTGATCCTTCTCTTAAAATGACACAGCTGACATATAAATTAACAAATGAGCCGAGGATAAAAGCAGTGCAGTCCAGTGCATATATTTTTTTTCTTTTTTTTGTTGCTCTAAACGGGAGCAGTTGGAAGATGATTGAGAGCACAAACTGCTGCAGGGAAGACACTCGCATGCAGTTTGAACCCTGTTTCAACAGTGTGACATCAGCTGTCTCCCCCCCCCCCCCAAAGGCTTAAGTTGTTTTCATGCCTGCGTTTGTCTCTGTTTTATTTGTATGCGATACCCAATTAAAAGACAACTTGAGTATAGATTCATGACTTAACCCTGCCCAACTCCAGCTAAATAATCCATGGAAGACAGTCATCATAAAACAAGAGTTCTTTTTTGAGACAGTAAAGGTCATATTGTGGCTAGTGACTTATTTCACCTAAAAAAACAGAAGGGATATGTTATAAAATTTTGTGAATTAAACAAAAAAAATGTATACTTATAACAATATGCTGTATAAACATAATAAAACACATTTTTCAGACTTTGAGACAGGTTTTTTTTTGCTTTTGGTTTGTTCTTGCTGTGTGTAAATGTGACTTATTTGTCCTCCTATTAATGACTTAGAAAACTTTAATGTCCTCCGAGAGAGTTTTCGCTTTTGTAATGAAGTGTTCCTTCTATAGCAGTTTTTATTATGTTGTTCATAACGTTCAGTATCTGCTATGGTGGGTAAAGCTATAAGTGTTCAGACCTACATGTGATTTATTGTTAAAAACAACCCGTAATCTGTTTATTTTCCTTCTTTTGGGGGGGGGTTCATCATCACATTACTGGTTCCAGCAGTGCAGTCCCACAGTCATTACAACCTTCAGAAATGAGAGGAAATACAATTTTGCCTCTGTTCATGATTAAGGCTGGGTTTGTGCTCATAAATGGGTATATTGTTCTTTTAAAAATGAAAAACAATCTGCCTGCAGGTCAAGATTTAGTATGAAGAAACAAGCAAAAACAAGAAATTACAAAAAAGTTTGGTTCCACCTGTCAGTGGCATTAACCAGACAGATGGAAATTGTGTTGTGTTATAGAGCTTCTTTCAATTCTACCTCTTTTGAAGCCAATATCCTTGTCTTCCTTTCAGGCACCATTTAGCACCATTGTGTGGCAGTGACAAGACAAAAAGGTATGGCCCTAAATGGTTTGTTTACTCAGAAAATCTCAGCACAGAATTCATTTGATCCACCTTTATGTCAGTCTTAAGGAAAAAAAGTGAACAATAATACAATCTCATGAGAAGAAAAAACATGTCCTTTATTGTGCTTCAGGCAGGAACAAGATCCAGTTATCTTTCATTTGAATTTATTAAAAAAAACAGTATTAAATACGATGAATACACTTAAAAAACAAAGGTAAAACAATGGTGTAAAAACAGACGAGCAGTGAAGCTCCCCCTGACAAAAACATCTTTGTTGTCTCTGTACAATTAAATCCTAAAAGTCTGAGTGACACAGTCATTAATTTCTGCTTTTGATATTAAAAAAAAAAGATGTTTGATGTTAAAACTCTCATGGCGTCCGTATTAAAAACAGTGCAGGATTGTAAAACCATGTGAAGTGTGGCACAGCCTGTCTGTACATAACAGCGGAGTCCCATCAGTCTTCTGTGTCCGACACAACCAGGATGGACGATACGCCGGAGCCATCATCGACCCTGCGGTGGAAGGAGCGAGGAATACATGAAACATTGTCTCTGTCAACATACCTCTGTGTGTGTGTGTGTGTGTGTGTGTGTGCGCCTGCCCACGGACTTACCTGTTGCTTCTTCATAATTTCATCTCTTGTCTTGAAGACCGGTGCGTCCTCCACCTCGATGCCTTCAGCCATTTCCTTCACTTTGTCCAGGAGCTCTGTGCTGTACCTGCAGTTAGTGAAGAGAGATGTTCCATCAGTGTAACGACCCACAGTTATTCATCATCTTTAATTAAAACTGTGGCTCATTCTCTTTCTTAAAAAGGACACAGCGTAACAGCAGAACAAGTGAGAATGCAAATGTTGCTGAAACTGCTGATAAATTGATGGATTATAATTCAATCATTTAATTATTGCAGAGTTGAAACGATTAGCTGATTAACAGAAAATATAATCATAATGCCAAACATTTATTATTTCCAGCTTCTTTAATTCTAAGGATGTGCTGATTTACTTTGTCTTGCATGATAGTAAATTAAAGATTAAACAAGCTACTTGAAGACTTTAGGAAAAATTGGCATTTCTCACCACTCTGACATTTAATCGGTCAACCAGTTGATAGAGAAAATAATCAACAGATTAGGTGATAATGAAAACAATCATTAGGTGCAGCCCTAAATGATTTTATATTATTTTATTTAAAACATTTGGTTATGTGTTGAATCTGGAAAAACAACCCTGATACTTTCAAGCTGCCAAAGACAAACTGGTGTCACACCATGATGCTGTTTAAAAAAAATGGGGATTAAATTGGCTCATCATCAATTTGATTTGAAGAAAACAAACAAACATTGCAACTGCAGTCCAATGTGTTTGTCTTTTCACAAACACAGGGGGCAGCAGTGAGCACATTGTGAGCTGATAATGAATAAACGAAGAAGATTTTGAAACTAAAACAAATCTTGGGACAAACCACACATAAATATAACGTTAGCTTTTGTGACTTATCAGAGATCAAACATTTGTTTTTACAGCTTTAAAATGAAATGAAGAACTTCAACTGAGCAAACATGTCTGTGAAAAGCTCAATTTAAATCCAGTGCTGTGTAAGAGCAGCTAAAAACCTGCTTTGTTTGGGTTAGTGGAGCCGTTTCATCTCCTAAAATCAACACAAAAACAAAAACATGTTGTGTTTACGAACCGACAGCCCATGAAGACGTTGTTAGCCCACACCATGGACAGGGAGAGCAGCTGGTCGAGCTGCTGGAGCTGGAAGTCGTTAATGTTCCGCAGGATGAACTCCCTCCGGGGCTCCCAGTGTTTCTCACTCTCCCAGTAACCTCGATACGTCTCCACCTGGTCGGCCAAAGCTCTGTTTTGTTGGATAAAATCCTCCACGTCCATGTTAGCCATCTTGCTGTTCTTTCCCCGGGCCGAGTCAACAAAGGCCGCTTCCGCTCTGCGAAGCGGGTCTCGGAAGTTGTTTTCCAGCCTTAGCGTGTGTCAAACAGCGCCACGCAGCGGTGGAGCAGAGAGCTGCTACTGACCTGAAATACTCCACTGCACAGAGCAGACTTGTGGTTTTTTTTTGTTTTTTTTTGGCTGGGGTGACACACTGATTTATGCAAGGGTGGCATGAAAAGTATGTGTCTCAGCTTTCCATTCATTCCCAATTTATGCGATTCCAATACTGTTCAGGGACCCAAGTATGCAGAAATATTCAAATATACTAGAGGCGAAATATAACACAGTTGTACCACATGCAAAAAACTGCATGGTTGCCTTAAGACTGGGTGGGATTAACATAAGGTGGGCATGTGGGGAGACTCTTTAGTACCCATAAAATCCACTTTCATTCAGATATATTAAGGTAAGAGGTCAAGGGATCCCTTTGAAAATATCTATGCCATTTTTCTATCACGAACATTTTGCCTAAATCTGGAGCGTTTTGTAGCCCACTTGCTGACATGATATGATATCACTTCACTCTAGCTTTACAACCGAGCCCACTACATCGTCTGAAAGACAGTGTGGAGGGGAAGAAGGAAAAATAATGGGGTGGCACTTGGGGTGGCCAATCAGATTCCAGGTCCCCCCTCTGGTAACACCCCTGCCACAGACGTGCCTTACTGGTTATTGGGGTAGACAGCTGGATTAAATTCATTAAATGTATATATATTAATCCACTGAAATATATAATATAACAGACCATTAGTGGGGCTTTAATCACAAAGTGGAGCTGAAAGATAAAAACCTCTCAATATCCAGAACAAAAAGGCCAAATAATTTGACAATTATTTTGTACGTTCAGTACTGGTACACAGCAAGTGGGTATTAAAAATTTGATTGATGCTTTGGGTATGACCTTCTCAATCAATACTCTTAACAAAGGCTCTGCTCCAGTAAGCCCAATACCTGGACCCTGGAACTAGCTCGCCCTAAATGAAATGCAGCCACCCTTAATGTTATTAATTACACCTGTGCTCTCCTTACGAATGCATTCGAATGCTGTAGTCTGTTCAGATTTAAGCAGTAGTCTCTCAGCCACTGAGCAACACTGGGGCAACTGGTGAATGTTGGTGGACTAACACAGCTTTAGATTTCTCAGGCTCCTGTTCCCCCCCCTCCAGCTTGATCTGTCTGTGTTCCTGGCTTTGCCAGAAAATATAAAATTCACAAGGCAGGTAGAATGGTGATGAAATGTCTGCAACAGACATACACACACACACACACACACACACACACACACACACACACACGAACACACACACACTGTCTTTTGCCTTCGTACTTGAACAACATCTCTCTCTCTCTCTCTCTCTCTCTCTCTCTCTCTCTCTCTTTCTGCACTTGACCAGCCTGCCAGGAATATGATCAGAGAGGAACGCTGGACTTTTAACCTCCAGTCTATGTAAAGAGGCTTATGGACAGTCATTCAGGCTCACAGATATGTACACACACACACACACACACACACACACAAACAGAGATATGTGCACAAACCCCTGCAAGATTCGCCTTTCCCTCTAACTCTCTCATTCTCTCACACACACACACACACACACACACACACATAGAGACACACAGCAGAACGGGGGATTTGGGGCTTGTTTTGACATGAAGTCATTGATATGCAGAGGGATTCCAGAGGAAGGCAAGCCAACATGAAGTCAAACAGACAGACTGTAAAAGACTGTCAAAATGACCATCAATGACCACCATTGTAACAGCCAGATACATTTAGGAGGAATGAAATTAAGGGCTTGAAGTTCATGATTTGCTGTGAACTCAAACTGAATTAACTTCCCTTTAAATTGAAAGAATTAAATATGAATAAAAACCATCCCACTAAGTCCCATTGCCTGTTAGCTTTATAATCTGTATGGAAAATAAATAATCAAGAAGAGAAGGTTAATTAGGAGGAGGATGTTCCGCTGCCCAGTGCAACAGTTGTGGTTAAGGGCCTTGCTCATGGATACCTCAGAGGTGGGGAAAGATGAGATAAGGGCAAGTGCTACCTTCCAGTTTCCCCACCCCGATTTATCCTGGCTGGTCTGAGAGATTGAACCACAACCTCCTGGTCCCAAACTTGATACAACTTTAACAGGTATTCAAATGGTTAAATTAGACACACACAGCAAAGGTAACTCCTGTGTGTACAAAATGGATTACGTTAACACATTTGGTTTAAATAAAGTGCAAACAGTGCATTGTTTTAATGAAAACCTCTTATGAAACATCTGAAATTTAGTGTCACACCGGTTATAAAGGCACAGTGGAGACACAGCCAAAGAACGACTGAGCAGGTTGGAACAACTGTCAAACATGCAGAGATGAAATAATGTCTGTGCAGATCCAGACA